ATATATATATATATATATATATATATATATATATATATATATATATATATATATATATATATATGTGTGTGTATATATATATATATATATATATATATATATATATATATATATATATATATATATATATATATATATATATATATAGACCGTTGCCGGAAGAGAATGGTTCCCTGGTTGCCCGACTTGTTTGCTAATTGTTTGCTTTGGATAGAGTGCTGATGGAGTGCAGCCCGAGTTGATATTCTGTTCTAAATCCTGGTCACTATCGTAACCATGATCGTATTTTCATCCTTCCGTCAAAACAGCAGGATTTAAATTTTACACTGGACGTTTGTTAACTTTGGTCAGAAATTTATATTGCGTAAAAATAGTTAATACTACACTCTAGTTACGGCCTTAAAACTTTATTAGATATGCAATTAAATTTCTTTTTAAAAAAATTCGTTTAGGAATAATATTGTTTCGTAATGATTTTAATCGTCTCTAGATGATCTAGATTTGTTAAAATGTACAAGTTTACTGATTGCTACATTTACCCTAGATCAGAGGTCGGCAACCTGCGGCTCGCGAGCCGCATGCGGCTCTTTTGATGACAAGATGCGGCTCTTCAGCTCCATGCACAAATGTTAATTTTTATTTTATTTTCGAAACTCTTAAAAATATTGTTCTGCAACATTCGGTGATGTACGATATAATAATAGATATAAACAATAAACATTCGCTATTCAATTAGAATATTTATTTACCTCCTATTTCAATGTACTTCCTATTAAATTGTCTATTCCGAATCGAAACATTCAACTTCATGGTGGATATTACAAAGAAACTAAAAGAGCTAAATGTAAAACTGCAAGGAAAGGGTAACCCAGCCTATGTTTGAGCAATTCAAAACAAATGCAAGTACACTGTGACGATCATAGTAGATCCTCTTAACACAAAAACAAATGAGATCAACATTGAGCCATTTAGAATTGATGCTGGTTCGCTTCAAATAAATTGGCTGGATTTGAAAACCAAACATCTGTGTAGTGGTAAGTTCACGGAACTCAAGAGAAAGTTAGGAGATTTGGAGGTCCAGAAAAACATGCACGTTTCGCTGCACACATGGACAGCTCTAAAATAAATGTCGCGAGTTGAGGCACTATTATGTGACGCATGGAATATTCTCCCAGGATACAACAATGAGGTGAAGAAGTTAGCATTTGGAGTGCTGATGATCTTCGGGTCACTATATTCATGCGAGCAAGCATTTTCTTGCATGAATATAATAAAAAGTAAAGAAGCAAACTAATGTTTCCTCCGGGCATATGTATATATATATATATATATATATATATATATATATATATATATATATATATATATATATATATATATATATATAATACTAATAAAATATCATAATATTTAAATAAATATGTTTGTGGCTCTTTAAAATCTGGGAAATTTTGTAAATTGCAACTTTTGGCTCTTCCGCCTCAAAAGGTTGCCGACCCCTGCCCTAGATGTAGAGCTAATCATAATGTTCCGAGGCAGGGGGTGATTTCAAATAGTGTTAAAGTGAAATAGGTCTAGCTAAGTCAACGCCATTTAGCTCAAACGCACCTGAGTATATAACTAATTTAAAGTTTTTCATCGTCTGTTTGTTTGTAGTCGGCCCTTTTTCAATCTCCGCGTTAGCTTGCTAGATGGCATACACAAATCTTACTTCATGTTTGTCCGCGTAGCGTACCTGAAATATAGAGCCATTCTACTTGAACTATAGGTCCATTCTACCTCAGCTATAGCCCCATTCTACCTCAGCTAGAGCTCCATTCTATTAGCTATAGCTCCATTCTACCTAAGCTATAACTGGAATTTCAACAAGCTCTAATACACTTAACACATGCTGTAATTCCACTTACAATCTATTACTCAACTCTAAACAAGCGATAATTTAACTCTACACCAGCTATAACCCCACTCTACACCAGCTATAACCCCCACTTTACACCAGCTATAAACCCCACTTTACACCAACCATAACCCCACTTTACACCAGCTATAACCCCACTTTACACCAGCTATAACCCCACTTTACACCAGCTATAACCCCCACTTTACACCAGCTATAAACCCCACTTTACACCAGCTATAACCCCACTTTAATACCAGCTATAACCCCACTTTAATACCAGCTATAACCCCACTCTACACCAGCTATAACTCCACTTTACACCAGCTATAACCCCACTTTAATACCAGCTATAACCCCACTTTACACCAGCTATAAACCCCACTTTACACCAGCTATAAACCCCACTTTACACCAGCTATAACCCCACTTTACACCAGCTATAACCCCACTTTACACCAACTATATCCCCACTTTACATCAGCTATAACCCCCACTTTACAACAGCTATAACCCCACTTTACACCAGCTATAACCCCCACTTTACACCAGCTATAAACCCCACTTTACACCAGCTATAACCCCACTTTAATACCAGCTATAACCCCACTTTAATACCAGCTATAACCCCACTCTACACCAGCTATAACTCCACTTTACACCAGCTATAACCCCACTTTAATACCAGCTATAACCCCACTTTACACCAGCTATAAACCCCACTTTACACCAGCTATAAACCCCACTTTACACCAGCTATAACCCCACTTTACACCAGCTATAACCCCACTTTACACCAACTATATCCCCACTTTACATCAGCTATAACCCCCACTTTACAACAGCTATAACCCTCACTTTACACCAACTATATCCCCACTTTACACCCGCTATAACCCCACCTTACACCAGCAATACACCCCACTTTAAACCAGCTATAACTCCACTTTACACCAGCTGTAACCCAAATTTACACCAACTATAACCCCCACTTTACATCAACTATTACCCCACTTTATACCAGCTATCCCCACATTACACCAACCATAACCCCACTTTACACCAGCTATTCTTACTCTACACCAGCTATAACCCCACTTTACACCAGCTATAAACCCCACTTTAATACCAGCTATAACCCCACTTTACACAAACTATAACCCCACTCTACACCAGCGATAACCACACTTTAATACCAGCTATAACCCCACTTTACACAAGCTATAACCCCACTCTACACCAGCGATAACCACACTTTAATACCAGCTATAACCCCACTTTACACCAGCTATAACTCCACTTTATACCAGCTATCCCCACATTACACCAACCATAACCCCACTTTACACCAGCTATTCTCACTCTACACCAGCTATAACCCCACTTTAAACCAGCTATAACTCCACTCTACACCAGCTAGGTTGTTTTGTTTTGTTTTTTTAATTTTTTAAATTAGTTTTCATGATTTTATTTAGACTAATATAATTCTAAATCTTGATAAGTGTATAAAGAAGTATAAATAACAAATGGAAAGTTTTTAACCGTATCTATCCTTTCAAATAAAAACAATCGCACGTCAAACATTAATATTTTTATTATTGTGAATCACTGTACAAAGTTTAGATCTAGTAACAAAGTGCAAATAACACATGGAATGTTTTTAACCATTGCCAACGAGACAATCTTGCATGAAACTTCTACTTACTTGATATGCACATAACACAGTTAAACCGGACTAGGAAGCCCTTCAGGCGATATAGATCTATGATGGGATTGTACAGGGTTATATACAATTTTTTAATAACAGATCAGTTTAAATTCTCTAACTTGTTCTTTCTCGTGTACCTTCAACACCGTGGTAAAACAATTAAAACAGGAGTGATCTCCCCTAAACTTTCTCGAATAGTCTTATAAAACACTACGGGGGATGGCAACTCGGAATATAGACATGCTTTTTAATCAATTTTTACATACTTTAAAATAGAATTGAATCTCGTACAAAAAAGAATTGCGCCCCAAAAAAAACAGAAAACAATACGGAACATTAGTACTTTATACAATTATTTGCATTTTTTAATTAGCGTTAAGTACTATTTCCGGTGACCGGAAATAACTCAAAATTCGACAGAAGGCAGAAAATTAGATCTTTTACTTATTTTTGAAATTTCGTTTATCTACCTGAAACAGTAAGCAAGTTATAGGCTTTTGAAAAACTAAAAGTAGAATAATTTTCACTTTCGGTTACCGAAAATCGGTGAAAAGTTGATACATAACTAAAAATTTGATATACTTTTATATAAAATTTCGTCAACCTAGCTGTCACGGTATTCAAGTTATCGTGTTTACAGACAGACAACACAGACAGACGACACCCACACACAGAGAGCCAAGATAGCAAAATTAATTTTTTCCGATTTTAAAACGTCGATTTTTTTTGCACGCTTACAGTACTTCATTTATATACAAGAAATTAAAAACAAAGGCAACACGACCTGTTTATCAAGGTAGACAATCTACTCATGACAGGATGAGATTCAGGGGAAACAATAAAAACTTTAACCACGCCGTGGGGTCTGATGGTAATCAGTCGAAGGTGGATGGTAAGCGGATGAGGAAATTAAAAACCTGAGGTTTTTTAATAGCTACGAAAAGCAATAACTGTTAATGAAATTTCTCAAGCGCTGGGATTGGTGACTTGTCTGTGTCAAAGTGACAAAGAAAAAAAATATTTTTGTAAAAAAATCCAAACACCTAATAGATCTAAATTCTAAATCTAGATCTATTATATTTATATCCTCCACCAAACAGGGATTTCTACAGTATGCAGGCAGCTCGCCTCCCCCACCCCCCCCCCCCCAATATACCGACAGCCCAGCCCGCCCCTGTATAACGTAAGTTGTAGGTCAATAACTTCTACCAGCGGGGGGGGGGGGGGGGCTGACGTCAAAACTATGCCTTTGGGGTTTATCAGATTGTAACAACGACGTATGGGCGGACATGCATGGATTGAAATATTCAAAAGATTATTGCAAATAGTATTTCAAGTGTACCAGTCATACACGCTACAACATTTACAGATTGTAACAAAACGTGTGCGCGTACATGCAAGGATTCAAATATTCAACAGATGTTTGCAAATATTAATTCAAGTGCTTGCGTGTACCAATCATACAGGCATAAATATTTACATTGAGCAATCATGTACACAATTTAAATAAAACATTACACACATCAAAGACTTTGGTTTAGGGTTAGCGCAAACTTTGGATTATTGATAAGTTGGTAGTAAGCGGTATAGTTAACACACGGGTTAAGCTTTTAAGCTTTATGGTTAAGTATCTTTGTCCAATGTACCATAATTAGCTTCAAGTCATATGGTTTTATTATTTAATCTCGGGGTTTTATTGGATCTAAGTAATTGGCGTCTCCGTACAGTTTCCTGACAACATGGCATCCCATAATTCCTTCATATACTTGACGTTGTACATGGTGGTCGCGTACCGTCTGTACACCAGGTCACAAAACGTGTACTTTTGTCCACCGAAGGCAAAAGCCGAGTTCCCCAGTCTAGTGATGTTTAACGTGACGGCCATGATGCCTGTGATGAACGCGTCCTCGTTGGGAACGATGTGAACAAAGGGAAAACTCGCAGCCATTTTATGAACAGCGGGACCAGATATCACGTAGGAATGTCCGTAGATGTACTTAGGGAAGTAGGAATATGCGTACACGTCTTTTGGTACAGCCCATCTTCCATCTCGCACTACAAAAGGCTTATCGTACCCATGCTGGTACCCAACTATAAAGTTAGTGTAGTTGTACGCTAGAGACTGAAGAAGTTTTAACAGTACTTGAAGATGAGCAAAGGTATCCATATCCACTTTAGCGACAAATTTAGCATGTGGACAATGTTTGGACGCCCAAGTCAAAGCCGTGGCTAACTTTAATGACAAGTTCCCGTAGCTGTCTTTAAAACTTGCCACAACGATGTCCCCATAAAGTTTGGATTCGTTGTACAATTCAAGATTCTCTACATCTGTGAAGCCTTCATTCCCGAAGAAAAAGACCAATCGAACCAAACCTTTTTGGCTCCAGGAGTTATCGTAAATTGGTGACGCCCATGTCTGACGTATGAGTAGCCTCCAGTCACTGTGCTGTTTAACGCTCATAATCATCACCAACAGGTCAACATCACCTGAACACACGGACGTACCCGGGATCGAATACTGGCTAGAAATGTCCGACACACGTGAACTATTGAGATAAAAGTACGTGAAGTTCTCAAAATATCCCGGGTACTCTTTAAACTCAGTTGTCTTTGAGCTCAGGTTGGAGAGTAATTGTGTATCATCTGAGGTAAAGTTGGTGACTGGTATGAACAAATGGTGAGAGGTTGAGTGAACGGATTGATTAAATGTAGTAGCTTCTGTAGCAAATGCAGTTGTGTACAGTCGTGTAGTCTCCGCTGTTGTGGTAGCTGTTGTTGTTGTTGTAGTGGTAGCTGTTGTTGTGGTAGCTGTTGTTGTTGTTGTTGTGGTAGCTGTTGTTGTTGTTGTTGTGGTAGCTGTTGTTGTTGTTGGTGGTGGTGGTGGTGGTGTATGTACATCTTGACGTGTCGTGGGCTGTTGTATGAAGATTGTTGTAGACGCCACATCAGCAGATGTGACTCGATGTTTTCCAGCAGTGTTTCTGTCCTGGAGGTTGTTCTGACTTTCAACTGGGAAGCCGTTATACTGGCACCCTCCGAACTGTAGGTTGATGCCAGTCGTGATGACGTAGGTGGCAACTATCAGCAGCAGACCGGAGAATATGAGATATTTTCTAGGTGTACCCGCAGACGTCGTCCTTGGTCGCAGCATGCTGGGGAATATGAAAAAATATTTTAAGCAGGGGTAGATGCGAGTTTGGTTTAGATTACAGTTTTTTACCTTAAATAAGCTTGTCTGTACATTTACTTTCACGTATATACGAAGTATAGAGAAAGTTTTGTTATCGTGCAAAAAAAAAATCGAGATTTTTGCTGAAGTTTTACACCTCCCTGAGTCGGAAAAACATAGTTTTGCAATCTTGTCCGTATGTCTGTGTGTGTATGTGTGTCTGTTTATCTGTCTGTGTGTCTGTGTGTGTGTGTGTGTGTGTGTGTGTGTCTGTAAACACGATGACTTGAGTACCGTTACAGCTAGGTTGATGAAATTTCATATATAAGTATTTTATCAAAATCGTAGATCCGTGTCAACTTTTGAAAGATTTCCGATAACCGGAAGGGGAACTTTTTATACTTTGAATTTTTAAAAGCCTATAACTTGATTACTATTTCAGATAGATAAATGAAATTTCACATATAAGTATAAAATCTACTTCTCTACCTTTTGCCAAATTATGAGTAATTTTTGTTGACCAGAAGTAGTAATTTTCGCTATTTCCGATTTCTCAAAAAACGCATGTGAATTTATAAAGTACTAATAATATTCCGCACTATTATGCACATTTTATTTGGCGTTCACTCAGTGTTTCTTCCAGACTTTTTTTCTCCGGGGGGGGGGGGGGGGGGGGGGGGCACTTGAACTTTTCGGGGGGGGGGGGGCGGTAGACTCTCCTCGGGGTGGGGGCGGACACTGTTAAAATTATATATTTTCTATATAAATTATATAAATTTCATTTCGTTCGGGGGGGGGGGGGGCGGTAAAAAAAATTTCGGGGGGGGGGGGCTTTGCCCCCCCCCTTCCCCGAAGAGATGACTGAAAGAAACTATGCGTTCACTTGGTGTGCAATTTAAAATGGATTAAAAATCATGTGTATATCCCGAGTTGCCATCCCCTGTTGTTTTATTTAAGAATTTTCGAGAAAGTTTAGGGGAGATCACTCCCGGTTTATTAAACAGAAGGATACAGAAAATTTAATTACAGATCTCAAAAGCGTAGAAAAGATTATTTTCTAACATACATTGTGTGTACATTTTTAACAGAAGAATAACAAAATAAAGTTACAGATTTCAAAACCATAGAAAAATTATAAGTTGATGCATCTTCTAGAGAAATAAAAAAAACTAGAACTATATTCATGTTTTTTATCTTAGCATTCCAGGTCCTTACTAGCGCTTTAAGTAAACCACAAGCCATTTCTGGACCACTGCATTCTTTATGTGTGGGCACTGAGGCTGTATAGCGGTAGGCATTCACCCATATCATCTATACTTGGTTCAGCTCTCGTTAGAATCGCACAGCATTGTTCCAGCAGTTCTTATAACACTAGTGGTCTCAAACTGATTTTATAAAATGGTCCCAGAGCTTTTTTGAAAGCTGCTATGTCAAGAACTCATGATTGTAAGATAATGGGCACTAAATTTGTTCATATAGTTCAAGTAGTAAAAAAGTTATGACGTTTTAAAAAGTTGGTTTTTAACTTCTCTTTTTTCAACACCCTAAAAAGTGCCATGTTTGAGAGGCTATATCTGTAAAAGTATATGTCACAAACACAATACAATCTTTTGAACTCAACACAAGCACACATACAGAGAGAAGAGACCCAATTTTTTTCAAACCTCAAAAACAAGTTCATCATTTAAATTTTTTTCTCACTTTTTTACTTTCTCGTATATACGAAGTATAGAGAAAGTATTGTAATCGTGCACAAAAATCACTTGAAATTTTAACAATTTTCACCGTATTACACCTCAGTCCTTCATCACATCCGAAGTATAGAGGACTTATTTTAATCGGGCAAAAATTATCAATCCAGATGTATCAAAATTAAGAGGTTTTGTGTGTAATCCAGTCTGAAAAACTGGGCTTTGCAACTCTGTCCGTATGTCTGTGTGTGTGTGTGTCTGTGTGTCTGTCCGTGTGTAAACACGATTACTTGAGTACCGTTACAGCTAGGTTGATGAAATTTCATATATAAGTAGTTTATCAAAATCGTAGATCCGTATCAACTTTTGAGCGATTTCCGAGAACCGGAAGTGGTACTTTTTCTACTTTGAATTTTTAAAAAGCCTATAACTTGAGTATTATTTCACATAGATAAATGAAATTTCACACATAAGTTAAAGATCTAATTCTCTACCTTCTGTTAAATTTTGAGTAATTTCCATTGACCGGAAGTAGTAATTTACGCTACTTCCGATTTCTCAAAAAACTAATGTAAATTTTTAAAGTACTAATAATATTGCGCACTATTAAACACTCTTTTATTTAGCGTTCACTTGGTGTGCAATTCATTTGTCTACGAGATTTTATTCTATTTTTAAAACTTTAAGTATTTAAAATTGATTAAAAATCATGTCTATAGCCCGAGTTCCCATCCCCTGTTGTTTTTTATAAGAATATTCGAGAAAGTTTAGGGGAGATCACTCCCGGTTTATTTTACGGACGTTTGACATACCTAATAACACTAATTTTTACTTATCTAACTATTCGTTTCAGTGGTTACACAGGAACAACTGCAACTACCTCCCCCCCCCCCCCCCCACACACACAAACATGCACACACCCACACACCAAGCCGAATACAGCTCTAAATTTAGCTTTGATTACGTGTATATGTTTTAGAGACAGCAGAATCTAATAGATAAAGCTCAGTTCTGTAACGTGTGGCAAAAAAAAGTTTGTCGTTGACACTTCTACGGATTTAAGTGTTAGATTTTTTATCGTGCTCAAAGTCTAAATTTACGAGTCGAAAAATTACCATTGAAAGTCTTTAAAAACAATTTTCATTCTATTTACTTAGAAGAATAATTTTCAATTATGAACACGACATAAAATTTTTAAAAAGTGTATCGACGTTTATAAAATTTCTAAAATTGTGTCGGAAATGTATTGACTGCAAAGTTACTTCCCTTTAATGAAAAATAAATCCTTAAGAAGAGAGAATTAACATTTTATTACTGTGTTTTTGGTGTTAAGAAAAAAAAAATAATTACACAATTAGCGGGGATTGATTAAGTGCAATGTCGTTAGGTATTTTTAACACTGCCTTTTATTTATTCTATACACTGAACATACTGTTCAATAATTATTATTTTTTTTTTAAAATCAATAACATTTAATAAGCCAGGTCCTACAAATCATATACGTTTATTTCTTTCCATTTACGGATAAGCTTGGAGTATTATCATTTTTGTTCACTAAATTGAAACAGGCGCGTCCGCCGGCGCCCCTGCACGGTTTGATTTGGCACCCTGGGCTATCATGTGAGCGCTATGCTGCATAATTTTGTTTTAAACAGTGCGATAGACTATGGATAAGAAAGGTTACTATAGTCTTTAAGTGAATCAAATCCGGGCGTCCTCCGGCACCCCGACAGGGTGCTATTTGGCGCCCCGGGTCTTCCGGTGTACGCTATGGTATCTACGTTCGCGTGAGTTCAAAAGACTATAAATAAGTTATGCACTAAGTTCAATCAGGCGGTGACGTCATGGTGCGTCCTCTGGCGCCCAGACAGGGTGCTTTTTGGGGTCCCGGGCCTCCCGTGTTCGGTTTCGCGCCTACGTTCATTAAAGTGAGTGCAAAAGACTATGAATAAGTTGGGGTACTATAGTCGTTTATTAAGTGGAAGTAGGCGATTCAGCCCCGTGAGCACTTTGCGTTTATATTCGCGTTAGTGTTTTCTTTGTGTTTAGGTTGGGTTTGCGTTAGTGGTTGCGTTTTGATTTGGTTCGTTTTTGTTCTTTCTTTTTTCGTTTTCGTTTGTGTTTTATTTTCATTGGGTTTGTGTTTGTATTTGTGTTTGAGGTTGGTTTTTCGTTTGGATTTGGTTTGTTTTCGTTTGTTTTTTCTTTTGTGTTTTTTTTCTTTGGGTTTGTGGTTGGTTTTGCGTTTGTATTTGGTTTGTTTTCGTTTGCTTTTTCGTTTGTTTTTTTCTTTGGGTTTGTGTTTGTGGTTGGTTTTGTGTTTGGATTTGGTTTGTTTTCGTTTGCTTTTTTCTTTGTGTTCGTATTGGTGTTTGTGGTTGTGGTTGGGTTTGTTGTTAGGTTTTTGTTTTCGTTTGCTTTTTTGTTTGTTTTTTCTTTGTGTTTGTATTGGTGTTTGTGGTTGTGGTTGGGTTTGTTGTTAGGTTTTTGTTTTCGTTTGTATTTGTAATTGTGTTAGCGTTATGTTTGCGTTTTGTTGTTTTGGTTGGTTGTGGTTTGGGTGGGCAATGCCGGGTTTAGGATGATTACTAAACACACAGGTAATGGTCTTTAACAGAAAGGTTTTTCACAGAAGCCAGAGCAGGGCCTGGCCGGGACGGCTAGTAGATTTTATAAGAATGCAGTCAGCCGTGTTTCTTGCAGTGCTTTTATATCCAGCTAGTATTTTTAGTTTTTCGTTTCTTTAGCAGCCTCTTCTCGTTTTCTGAAATGATGAGGTGCTCTTACCTTCCAAATAAGTATTTTTATTGGGGGTTTATAGTGGGTGTTTATTTTGGGTATAATTAGCTTTGT